GACTTGTTCCTTGCTTGAGACTTACCATATAAATGTATCTGCCCTTGTCCTACGGTCCTGTATAAGCCAACACTGGAGAATGTAGAGAATACAGTAAGCACATTTCTTGGGATTACAGTCCACAGCATTTTCACGATAAGGTTAGGAACCACGGCCTGCATGTCTCTACATTTCCTGGCTGTGATTGCATTTTAGCTGTTCAATGTTTTGATGGCAGTGTCTGGTCTATTTTTTTATAGGGTCTACTTTTGAGAGAGACACCTTAGTCAATTATTAATGATTATCTAAATTTTAAGAAAGATGCCTGTCTCTTTGCTGGTATTGAAATAAAGTGTGCTTTTTATCCTTAATTCACATAAACACAATTTACACCTTTATACTGTAGAAGAGGGACTGGAGACCCAGTGAACTAACTCATCACCAGGAGATTGTGAGGAGCTGTCCTCGTATGCCGGCACTCGGAGCATCCCTTGAAGAGCCTGCAACCTGAATGCGTTGACAAGGCTGGTAGTAGGTACTGGCACCAAGGATGGCTCTAGCAAATGAAGAATCAGACTACGAATGTGGAGTTTAATTATTTCTGAGTCTGTTTCTTCATTTGTAAATGGGAATAAAAGCTACTAGGAGGAAATGATAAAACTAGGGTTTTAGATTTTGTTTTAAATACATACTTATGGTTTAAAGTTAACCTGTATGGCAGCATACATGTAAGTTATAGAACAAGGCCTTTATGCAACTCAGGCAGAAAGTAAAAAAGGCCCTCCTGGACAGCAGAGATGAATCACTCTGGACAAAGGTTCTGGGACGCCCAGCTCCTGGAGCAGTGCCTCACCAACAGAGCTTCCTTCCACAGTGTCCCTCACCTGCTGACGGACGTACGTGATCTTTGTGCCTTTTCCTCAAAAATATTCTCCTGCAGTCTGTACTTCTTCCTGGTTGACTGCCTCCACAGTAGAATAAATATTCCATTTGTCATTGGAATTTCCCCCTCACCACCACCAAATAAATTATGCCATAACTTAATGTCAGGTATGTTTTTTAAATAAAAACGCCTCTTTATGTGATAGTGAACGAACAATCTGCTGTAATCTGAACTCACCTACCTCTTCACTATAATCATATTAACATTAGAGAAGACAGGACAGTAAAGGCATGGTATAAATCTGTTTCAGATTTTTATTAGGACTTTTTTACTTATTTATTTTTTGGTGGTACCAGGGATTGAACTCAGGACCTTGTGCTTGCCAGGCAAGCAATTACTCCACTGAACTATCTCCCCAGCCCCAGGGTTTACATTTTGTTTTAAAATGTATACTTACGTTTTAAAGTTAACCTGTATGTCAGCATACATGTAAGCTACAGAATAAGGCCTAAAGGCAATTCAGGCAGAAAGGAAAACAGGCTCTAGAGTAGTGTAAATCAGTAGTTCTCTGCGTGAAGCCCCCTGACCAGCGCATCAGCATCCCCACCAGAAATTCTGGGGTGGGTCCTGCAGTCTGTTTCAAGAGGTCTTCAGCTGATTCTGATGCAAACTAAGTCTTGAGAGCTGCTGATAGAGCCGGAACTCATGGTCTTTGGGGTTATTTAGACTAAATTTCAATCTTGGTTGTATCAAAAATTGTGACACATCAATTGGCTGGGGTTTTTTGAGTCATGGTCTACTGTGCAGTTCAGGGAGGCTGGCCTCACACTCGCGGTGAACCTGCTGCTTCAGCCTCCTGAGCCTGGGATCACAGGCGTTTGTCACCATGCCCAGTGTAATGATTTCTGAGTCTGCTTCCTCATTTGTAAGTGGGAATAACAGCTATTAGGAGGGAATGATAACAATTAAAATGAGGGAAGGAAAGTGTTGGCACTTGTACATGCAGGCATCCACTCTGACAGAGACCAGCACAAGGCAGATATCCTACATAGGTTTTTTTTTTTTTTTTTAAAGGGAAGGCATTATTCTTTTTTTTTTTTAATTTATTTATTTATTTATTTATTTATTTATTTATTTATTTATTGTGTGTGTGGCCAGTTCAGCCCGCCAGGGGGCGGGACTGGCTGGCATGTGGTGCTGGGGATTGAACCGAGGTCCCTGTGCTTTTGTTTAGCTTAGCTTGTTCTAAGTAGGTGCTTTAGACCACTGAGCCATCTCACCAGCCCTCCTACATAGGTTTTTAAAAGCTACAAGTATGCTAAGAAAAGATAATGCTTTTATTTTACTTTTTAGGCAGTGTATCTAAATCCTCATGTTAATGGGTTTAAAGAAGGTATTATGTCTCAACAGATTTAATTAGGTCAGGCACGTTAAAAATGACTACTGATAAGAGCTTTTACAGGCATTGTCACTGAATTACTTGTCATATGATTTTTTAAAGAAAACATTTTATTTTTTAAATTTATTGGATACATGGTCTCACTACACAGTTCAGACACATAGTGATCCTCCTGTCTCAGCCTCCCCAGTGCTAGGGTTATAAGTATGCGCTACCACACCCGGTTTCAGGGCAGGCATGGCACAACCAACATTCAGGGGCTGGCCCGGCATGTGGTGCTGGGGATTGATCCCGGTCCTCGTGCTTGCCAGGCAGGTGCTTGGACTGCCAAGCTTTTCCCCTAGCCCTGTCACATGAATCTTTAGACTGGTCAAAAGTTTTGTAAATAAGTTAGTATAATGAGTTATATATGATGAATTGTGCTGAATTAATTGAACTGTTTCTTTCAAAGACTCAACTGATTCACTGCCACTTTTATTTATAAAGATAAATTTATATAGTTTAATAAAATCGGCCAAAGTCACAACTGCACCTTAGGATGGTAGAGCAAGGTAATGTATAACGAGGTGTGCTTCTTGCCTTATTACTGGTGACACTGGAGCAGCAGGGAGAGGTCAATGATTCCTAAGAACCTCTTTAACTTTCCAAACATACACCTAACTGAAAGTTCCGTACCAAATGTACGATACTCTCAATGTCTGCTAAGCTCAGGCGCATTTTCCCGGGCTGAGCAGCAGACCACAGCATGGTAGAAGCTGTCTTACTCAGCATGCTGGGTCTCCGCGATGGACGTCAGTGAGCCCAGGCGCTCCTCCAGAGTGTTGATTCTGTATCTCATGTAGAAGGTCGAAATGATTAGCGCACAGACCCTGGGAAGGGACAGACAGAAATTTTCAACAGGTTCACAGCCAGGATCTGATGTTCAAAACACAATAAACTTACAGCCAATGTCATTCATATGTTTGAGGTACTTTCCAAAATAAGTTGGCAAGAGGGAATTTTAAAAGATTTTTTTGAAAAATAGGTTGATGCTTGTTGTAAAACTTTCCAGCCAATAACTTAATACCCGGTAGCCTAAGTCCTTTAATTCACAAAGAAGAGCCATGGTAATAGGACAGATGGTCTAATCCAGACCCAGGATGGTCTAGGCCAGGCTCTTTTTTCCTGCTGGTCTGGCCCCAAGAGCACAGCCTGTGCAGAGAAGGCCCAGCCTCATCCTCTGGTGACCCACAAACTCCTTGAAACCAGACCAGGTATATCCCACTCTATGGGAAGCACAGCCTAGAATGGGGCCAGGTCTTTTCAGAAAAGCAACTGGATACAGACTGGAAAGTGATGCGAAGGTAAAAACAGCTGTGCCCGATTTTCAGGAAAAGGGGTAACATTTTGAAGACACCCAGGTGTCTCTGCTTAGGACAACAAACAGCTAGAAGATGAGTAACAAGGAAAAGGTGCTTCAAAATTTACAGAACAGCCAGGTATGGCAGCCAACTCTTGTAAATCAGCCCTCAAGAGGCTAAACAGGAGGAGTGCCATGAGTTTGAGGCCAGCCTGGGCTACACAGTGAATTCAAGGGTAGCTGAACTACATTGAGATCCTGTCTCAAAACAAAAACAAAACCAAGCATAATTTACAGAACGATTTCCTAACTAATAACACCCACTCAGAACTTGCTCCTCTGGGATGTGGCATAGTTATTCTAAAAAATGATCTACATGTAAAGAAAATATCAGTGGGAAACGAATTGTCCAAGAGCACTTGTGAGTCACATTAGAAGCATCTGAGCTTTACAGTGGCTCGTGGCAATGCGAAAAGGGGTCTCTAGAGAACTGAATCATCCATGTAAGCCACGCATAGTAAATATATTTACTTACACAACTGCGTAGAACACGAGGACGTGGTGGAGAGTCAGATACTTCTGGGACTTGACCCTGTGCAAGATTCCAGTGGTTTCTGACTGACCTGTTGAGAAAAGCGCAGTTTACCACCACGCGGTGCACTTTCATCTAGCTGTGTCCCGGCAGGGAAGAGGTTCCCGGGACAGGTGGTCATCCTCAGGTAAAGACAGGAGAGGAAGCAGACGCCGAGGCTGCCCAGCTGTCATTCATCCAGCAGCTTCAGTCCTTCCCAGCACAATTTACTCAAGGGACATTTCCTGCAAGTCTTTTACACATTAGTGCTGTGCTGGAGCCAAAGCAGAGTGGCATTATGTGCTCTGACACTAGTCTACACTTGTAACTAATTACCAGAACAATTAGTAAATTAAGAAATAATTCAGTAATTTGAGTTCTGGCACCAATTTTTAGATCACAATTTCAAAGTGTTCAGAATCATGGGGTGACCTCCACGAAGGTTAATTCTCCCATTATCCCCCAGAGGAGAGCACCAGACTGGATACTATTTGATACTATTAATGAATATAGGAGAGCTAATATGCAAAGACCTGCAGTGGGAAGGAAGGGGAGGCAATACGAAAGGCAACTGTGATACCCTGAAACATTGGGACATCTTAAAAATTACAAACAGAAATTCCTTCCTCTTCAAAAAAAATTCTGCTTCTTACCATGTGCAGGGAGAGTCCTGGCTTTCCCGTCAGATAGTCTGTTCACATGGACATCAGCCCGAGCAGGCTTTACTTCTGCCTTGGGGACATTCAGAACAGTCTGGGATTCTGTCACGTGGAAATCTACAGGCCAAAGCGCTGGATGAGTTTTCTCCCCATTGCACTGAAGAACAATATCACGACCAACCACTATACAAATCAATCCCTTACTTTGCATAATGACTGAGTAAATCTTCTCAAAAATTGGTCAAGGTGGCTGGAAGTTGAAATCTAATCTCGAGTAAATACATAACCATATGAGCATACCCCACCAACATGTAAGTATGCAGCTGTAGGGTTTTTCTCCCTCTTTTGAGACAGGTTCTCATGATTCAGTTCAGGCTGGCCTTGAACTCACTTTGTAGCACAGGCTGGCATCCAACTTGATGGGATCCTCCTGCCTCAGCCTCCAGAGTGCTGGGATTACAGGCATGTGCCAGAACACCTGGCCCAGCTATAGTAACTAATACAGTTCCTGAAATAAGAGGGAAGAACATGCTACATGTCGATCTCTCTCAACTACCCTAATGCTGTGCTGGTTGAAGAGACATTTGCTAAATGTCTACAAGAAATTAGATTTTCACCACATAGGCAATTCCCTTCCCTTGAGCTTTCAAATGACCTGTTTTCTAGATTTACTTCCCCTCTTAACTAGAAACACAGGGCAGGCTTTTATTTGTAAGGGGGTGGGGAAGGGGCATTGTGTGAGAATTAAACTCTAGTCAAGGCATAAACATTTCCCAGACCTCGGGAGTTCTCAGATTCAGGGGTCTGGGAGCCAGAGCTGCTGTATCCTTCCATGTCTTGCCTTCTCTGTCCAACGACTCCATCCAGATCTGAAAATTCATCATTGAAATCCTGAAGGGAGACAATACAAAAAAGAGAGGCCATTTATTCCTTACTGGACAGACAGGCCTTTGTAACCCTTGGTCCTCTAATGTAGGCTTGACCCATAAAATACAGAAAAGAAGGATTACTCCACACTGTGGGGATTTTCCTAATAGATCTGTGTATCTGCTTGTGGAGGCTGAGTTCAACTGGGTAGTCAGAATTCTGTGTGTAGCAATGGCCAACTTTTTCAAACAACAGATGTCCAGAAAAGAGAAAAACAAAACAAAACAAAACAAAAAAACTAACTGGAATACTGATGATTGAAAAACATTCAATGTAACCATGGAGAAGACTCAGTAGCACTTTGTAATGAGAGAACCCAGAGGCCCACGTGCATATGTGCATACACACACACACACACACACACACACACACACACATGGAAGAGAAACAAATAGCTCAAATGAGTTTGAATTTGTCCACAAAGAGAAAGCATCCCTAAATTAGTTTTAAAAGTACTGGAAGCAAAAGGAAAATGGCTTTTGTCGATCAAACCATTAAAACAAAGTTTCACCTCTCTTTCTTCCCACAACTGGACCAGTATAGTCAGTGATACTGCATTTAAATTGCATACAGATGATAAAAAGAGAAAATACGGAGACATTTTATTTTGCATTCTACCAGCTCTTCCAAAGTATTTAAGAACTAAAGAGAGAAGTGGCCTCATTAAAATGTCCTGAGGGAAGAATAATTAGGCTGAGCTTTTAACAACTTAGCTGGCAAATGAAAGATTCGTCTTATAAGCAAATCACCAAACTTACCAAAGAGCCTAGAACGTCCTGTCTTTTGGCCATCTCTAAATTCATTTCTATTTCATATAAGAATTTATAGGGGATACAAAACTAAAAATTTTAAATCTCTTCAATTTCATCCTGACTTACTGAGTGTCCACTGAACACTAGCAGCATGCAGATCTTCCAACATGCACGACTGTACTCAGCCTTTGCAGCCACAGCCTGACGCTGGCACTGTAGGAGCTGAAGAGGCTGCGAGCAAGGGAAGAACTTGCCTGACGCCATAACTCAGTGGCTGGAGCCCAGGCTGGAAAGCAGCTTCATTCCAAATCACACGTTCTATTATTTACTGCTTCCCAATATGTTTTACTAGATTCTCTCTCTCTCTCTCTCTCTCTCTCTCTCTCTCTCTCTTTCTTTTTTTTTTTTTTTTTTTTTTTTGTATTTCAGGGAAGGGTCTACAGGGTGTTCAGGGTCTCACTACTAGATTGGATTTGTAGTAATCTGCCAAGAGCTGGGATTACAGGTGTGCGCCACCAAGCCCAGTCTCCATCGCAGAGTGTCCCAGGGGGCAGGGCCAGTGCAGCAGGCCCAGGGATTGAACCCCTGCCCCCTGAGCCTACTTGTAGGCACTTTAATCCACTGAGCTATTTGGCCATCCCAAGATAGATTCTTTAGAGCTTGAGACAAAATGCACTACAACTGCGCGGTTTTTAGAATGTTCACAAGCTGTCCACCTATCACTAGTATCTTATTCCAGAACTTTTCCATCATTTCCAAAAGAGTAGTCGTCGTCACTCCCTATTTTTCCTTTCCCCTATTCCCTGTTATTAACTAATCTGTTTTCAGTGGGTATGGCTTTGCCTATTGGGAATGTTTTATGGATAGACAGGTCTAACTTACAATTTTTTTTAACTCTATAATGGTATGAAAGCAGTACACAGTAGAAACCATATGGAAAAACTTGAATTTTGATCTTTTCCTGGACTAGCATTATGCCCTTATAGAGCATCTTGTGGGATGGGGTGGAAGCCAACAGCAGGGTCTCCCAGGTAACCACATGGTCACGACAGGAAACAATTAGTGCCCTTCTAGGATGTATTGTGTTGTTAAACTATGAACTTCAGTACATAAACTACATTAAACACATTTTTAATTTATGATACTTTCAATTTGTGATGGGTTATTGAGGTGGAAACCTAATCAGAAAGTCCAGGAGCATCTGAGAATACAGCCATGTAATACAGGGCCTTTGGGGTCTGGCTTCCTTCCCTCAGCATGTTTCAAGGTCCATCCAGGTGGCAGCATGTACCAGCACTTCATCTCCTTTTACAGCTGAGTAATTTTCAGTGACGTGTATACACTACATTCCCATAAATCCATTCATCAGTTGAAGTACATTAGGAACCTTCACACACACACACACACACAACTTTTTGACTATTATAAATAATGCTATCAACATTCTTGTGCAAGAGGTGTGAACATGTTTTTAATTCTATTACTTTTTGAATTGAAGAGCTGTAGAAGATGCTGAAGGTAAACATTTATATTCACTGACGGTAAAATTTATATGCCGTTTGGTAATAATCACTTAAGATAACTGATTTGGGAATCATCAGTGTTATGGTTAGAACTCTCTTGGGAAAACATGCTCTGTTATGGTCACAAATCTTATAGAATCTTCCCCTGGAGATTTACCTTTCAGTCAACAGAGCCAAAAGGTTCAAATAACCCTCACCTGCTGCTTGGGCCTTATTGCTCTCTTTTCTTGGTTTATTGTGACAGGGTCTTACTATGTAGTTCAGGCTAGCCTAGATTTCAAGATCCTTCTGTCTCAGCCTTTGGAGTGTTCAGATTATAGACGTGTACCACCCTGTCTGGCTCTCTCTCTCTCTTTTTTTCCTTTTTTGTATTTTTCTGAGTTTGTTCCATTTGCTTTCCTAAGCTGTGACATCTGTGAAGGTGAGGCTCAGTTTTGCTTTTTCCTGGTCTCTTACAGTACACACTAGTAGAGCACCTTAAACACAGAAGATGTCTATGGGGTGACTTATGCCTTGCTGCAAAGAGATTTGTGAATACTTTTAAAACTATGGATGGCGGGGGAGGTGGCTCAGTGCTAGAGCACTTGTCAATCATCCATGAAGTCCTGGGCTTGACCCACTACACTTTAAAAAAAGAACAGCGAATAAAGTACAAACACATGAATACCTCCAGTGACTAGTAACTGACCACGTCAGACCACAAGCATGTCTCTTCATTTGTAGAACAACTTTCAATTCCTAGAAAAAAGCTACGGTATCCTCTGGTTCCCTCTTCTGAAGACACAGGCCCTCTCTTCAGCAGTCTCCACAGCAGCCCTGATCCTAATCTGTCCCACACACTGTCATGGCGTGAGCAGAGTGCAGGATGGGATGTGGCCAGTCCCTTTTGCATTAGATTTGATAGTTACGCAGGTGACTTACCAGTGGCAGAGATGAGGGGCGATCTGCCCCGAAACAATTTTCAGGAGAAGATGGGTTGGGACTGTTACCAACACTTGTATTCTGGAGTGATTGAAAAACATGAAAAGTCAGATCAACTACCATTAAAAATATAAAAAACAGAAAAGAAAGGCAGGAACTGAAGCTCAAATGTCACACTCACTTCTAAGTGTCCACATACAGATCTGAGTAGTTTGTAAGTCGAATCTCTGGACAGCAAAGAGACAAATATGTACTGAAAAAGAAGAGAGAGTAATTAGGACACATACTGCCTGAGGACAGTGAGCGCTCCATGCTCAAAAAAAAAAAAAAAAAAAAAAAAAAAAAAAAAGTGAATGTAGTTTTTTTCATTTTCTAATGACAGAGACCACTCTCTGGCCTATATTCTCACTCCTCGCACTAAATTTTTCCACTTTTATTTTATTTTAGGAATAAAGCAAGTAATTCCCTCCCAATAGCAATATGATCCCAAACTCAATTTAAGAGTAATAAAAAAATGTAGGACAAAATGAAGCTTTCAAAAATCTGAAATAGGTGCCTGGAAACACAGGCAAGTCTTAAACATGAGGAAAAAATCTAGAGACATTTCTAGATCCTCTATAAATAAAGTTTTCCCTCAGCCAGTTCTGTTGTTTTGAAAGGTATTTACCCGTCCCCATGGGTCTGCTTTGCTTTGCTGACCTAGATCTGCACTAAATCTTCCCAGTGACTCCATCAGGCTGGTTCTTTTTCATGCTACTTTCAGACTCTTCCTTGTACAAATATGGAGATTGTTTTAGTGGACACTTGTGGAAAAAGAGGAAAAGAAAAGCTAGACAAATAATTTGGAGATAAATGACCTAGGGACTTTCTTTTGACTATAAATAGTACATTCACAAAATATAAAAATGTACTCTTCCTCCATGCGAGTCTTTCAGACCCCCTGTCCATGAGTCTGAGAGGCTGGCTCCCTCTCGAGAGCTCACCCATAGAGAAGGCGACATGGTTTCCAAATAAACACTGATATATTCCAAAGCAAAGAATGCTGCAAACTCAGGCATCAGATCCATTTGGCAATTCTGGCTCTGGCACCTGTTATGTGGGTGACCCTGGGGACACTGCTGAAGAACATTTTCATTACAGGATGGTGAAAATACGAAAGAGGGTGCTTGACACGTGCCTGGCAAAAGTGCCGGGTACCCAGTACCTACTCGAATTAGAGAAAGAACCCCAAAATACACAAATTCACTGATTTTTTAACTTATCCCAACAGCTTCTTTTATCCTTCTACGCCTCTCTTCTCTCTAAGCTATCCAGAATGGCTAGAAATGGAACACAGTTTTTATGTCTTTCTTCTTCCTCCCTTCTTCCCCCGTCTCCCTACCTCCTTCCTTCCATTTTTATAGTGCTGGAGATTGGGCCCAGGGCCTCAGGCACACTAGGCAAGTACTCAACCACGAAGCCACACACCCCGTCCATAAATGCCACTTCCAGTGGAAATATCTCTGCTTGCACATATCTGGGACAGCATTACAGTGAACTCTAGCTCTATGTCCTGGGTAGAAGAGCGGTTGTTTAGGTATCTGCAGCACGTGGGTCTCAGAACTGGTCCTGCAGCTGCAACCTCAGATCAGACGTGAGCTTCGTGAATGCTGTGGGGAGCAACCTACTGCAGCTAGGAGGAGATGGCAGCCTCCATCCCAGGAGTCCTCAGCCTCATCCTGCTTTACCTTGTCAGCAAGGCTGCTGCTGCTCTTGTTTTCAGTCTGTTTTGGATGTGTGTGTGTGTGTGTGTGTGTGTGTGTGTGTGTGTGTGTGAGACAGGGTCTCACTATGTAGTCCAAGCTGGACTTGAACTTGTAATTTTCCTGACTCAGCCTCCCAAGTGCAGGATTACAGATGTGTGCTAACACATTTGGCATTTTTTTAAAAAAAGTATTAAGATAACTAAATATATCAGTGTAGCCAAAAGCAACAGATATTAGGGAAAGGAAGATAGAAAAGAATTTTATTTTTTTGAGCTTGGTCAGCTAAGTATAATGAAGTCAGCAGGAAATTCAAAATTGGCAACAGTTTTATTAGAATAAATCATCCTGTAAGGGAAACCCTATGACACAGATGTCCCTAGCCTGTAATTTTAAAAGCTAGTCTTACAGAAGATCTTTGCCACACCATGGGGTAAGGTGTGGTTCAGGCTCTTAGAACTTGGTAAGTGACTCAAAAAGCATCAGAACACGAGAACAAAGCAAGGTGCCCCACCAGGCCACATACTCACCCTGTCAGTGACCGTCGCTATAATCAGGGCATTTGGCACCAAGAGAGCAGTTTTGGTTTTCTTTATTAGGGTTACTGAAAAAGCCGGAATAGAGATCTGAAACAGAAGCAGGAGGTTAACACTGGCTTAGACTTCACGGAACAGTGCTTCAAAGATAGATGTTGAGGAAAAAAAGAAAGGACTATATAAAGCGATCAACACCAGCATCAAGCGTGGAGCCTTCATGAAGAAAAATTAATCTTGACGAGTGGAGTCAGTGGTGTCACTGAGCTCTTCACACTGGCGGTCACAAGGCCAGAGAGTAACGAGATCATCACTTCTAGTGAGGGGCTTCTTGGGAACCGTTCTCTTTGGACATGTGAACAGAGGGGGGTAATTTATGTTCTTGGTCATTTGTTGTAATGCAAGCCTGCAGAAATTTAGTCCCACTGTGGACCAATCTCCACAAACCTCTTCCTCGTCGGGTGGAGGTAGGGGAGGAGCGCTAAGCACTGGCGCAGGAGGCCCGCGGCGTGGGGGACTCAGCGGTGGAGGGAGCTCTGCGACTGTCTGTGTGATCCATGCCAAGAGGTGAGTTATTCATTCTGGGCCTCTCTTTCCTGGTTTATATGTCACAGACAGTTTTGTCTGCTTCTCATTTTTCTGATGATTAAATGATACAGTATATAAAAAATGTCCAGTACCAAGTAACAATTTCATCAATTTCTTCATTTGACTCCTGAAATCAAAACAGGTTAGGAAAAAACTTCTAAATTTGTTCTGCTTCTAATAAAAACATTAATAACTATAGAGCTACCATTTAATATTTATTAGATGATTTTTTAAGATGATCCCATAAAATTGCTGTTTTAAGAGATAATGAAATTTATTTAAACTTTAGATACATGACTTGTAATAGGTATATATATAAAAAGTTAACGATATATTGGCTGGCATAAAGAATAGCAGACATTCCTGATATTTGTTATATTCTTTCAACTAGGGTAGGTTTGGAAGGGAACTCATATACTTTGATCCTTGAAAATAAAGTCACACGCAGGTATGGACAAAGAAAAGACCAGTCTCTCTCCATGGGTACAAACACTTGAATGTACAGTTCATAAAAATGCTGTACATACAGTATTCCTAGAGTTCAACAAGGTCTGTGGGACAAAGTGGCAATGCCAGCTTGAAGGAAAAGGAACAAGATTTTAATTTTAAATATTTATATTCACACATAGGAGCCTGAGATGGTGTTACTTACTGCCTTGCTAAGTTTCAGGCGAAAGACTATGGATGATTGAGTGACTTATTGAAATCAGATATGTCCCAAAATATCTAACATTTTGCCAAAGAACTCTACTCAACAAAATTTTTTCTAGAGAAGGAGATAATTCTAAATTTTTAAGTTGGAATAACCTAATTTTTTTTTTTTTTGTGTGTGTATTTTTAGTAAGGGTCTAGAGTGTCTACAGGGTCTCACTACATAGATCAGACCCAGTGATCCCCCTGTGTTCAGCCGCCCAAGCACTGGGATTACAGGTGTGCGCTACCATGCCCAGTGGCAATCGCTATCTCAGCGTGCCCTGGAGGCGGGGATCAAACTCCGGCAGCTGCGTCTGCCTAAACAGGTGCTCTGATCTGCTGAGCTATTTGGCTGACCCTTTAAACTGGGAACAACTTTGGAAAGAAGAGAAATAAATATATACTCAGGTAACTGATGTGTCTAATCTTGTTTCTAGCAACATAGACACAGAGTGACAAGGCACTGTACACTTAGGTTTTACCAAGGCATAGAAGAGCGTTAGTTAAGAAGTCTGAAATCAGCAGCTCCATCAGTTCAAAAATTACAACCAGATATTTGTGAAATGAAAATGAAACAACTCTTCAGCGAGACTAGATGGGGATGGGATACACACGTTAATTTTACGTGCATCTGAGTAGGCTGACTAAAGGTCCCTGATTTAAGTGAGGCTACACCTTATAATATTTCTTAGGCTAGAGGGCTTAGGAAGTTCTTCCTTTCAGAGAAAATGCATTGCATGGGTGCCTTCAGTTCACAGCGACCATGCTGGATGGAGGTCTGCTGACAGTGAGGAAATTCGGCCACATCGCTGAAGCCCAGGTCTCTTGGTATCATCCTGATGGAAGAGTCACATAAGTCACTGCCCTGGGTCTTATTCCAATGCCCTATTTTCCATCTCCTACTTCTGCAGATAAGACACAGCACACGCAAAAGCAGTCCCAGTGCATCTGCGTCTTTAAAAAACTAGGATCACTTCTTTTGGGTCCTTTGTCACTTCTTTTAGGTAGAAGTGGGATTTTAAAAAACACTGCTAGAGTTATAATAACGAGTCATTTGTTATTTACAAAACATCTTCAGTCTCACTGGTGCCGGTCTTCTCAGAGAAGCTCTTTCTGATTTCTTTGTTTTGACTTCAAAGCTACCTTTATAAGTACAGAAGCCAGTTCATACCAGGAGTCAAATGACTGCAAGCTCATTGAAGTTATACCAACCTAAGAAAGTATTTCTCAGACTTATTCTTTTTTTTTTTTTTTTTTTTTT